TGGTAGTGGACCCCATACCCGTCCTGTTGGTGGTAGTGGACCCCATACCCATCCTGTTGGTGGTAGTGGACCCCATACCCATCCTGTTGGTGGTAGTGGACCCCATACCCATCCTGTTGGTGGTAGTGGACCCCATACCCATTTGGTTGGTGGTAGTGGACCCTACCACCTGTGAGTGGTAGTTTATTGTGCACCCCATACTGATCCTGTGGGAGGTAGTATATAGTGTGATGATTTGATGAGAAAAAGTGCAGGTCCAGAAATTACCTGATGCCCATCATCTCGGGTGACCAGGGGTACAGGAAGCGGGCGGCTTGTCAAAGATCCATCCATTATTCCTGAGGATTTTCCCCATTTTATGTTTATATTGAGGCCCCACAAGATCAAATACGTCCAATTTATTTGCTAGGCTTCTGACATTTGTCAATTATCAATTTATTTGCTAGGCTTCTGACATTTGTCAATTACAATTTATTTGCTAGGCTTCTGACATTTGTCAATTACAATTTATTTGCTAGGCTTCTGACATTTGTCAATTACAATTTATTTGCTAGGCTTCTGACATTTGTCAATTATCAATTTAAGCTTCTGATATTGTTCCTATGGGGCTGAGAGATTGCTTATTAGCTTTCTGCATTCATTACCTGAATTTGCCCGAGACCTTTAGATCATTTATTACTTGAATTTGCCTCTAGATCATCACTCTAGTTGCCACGACGGGATACAGGAAGCTGGTTGTTTATCAAAGCTCGCCCCATTTTTCCTGAATTTGTTTTCAAATTAAATTTTGAACTATAAATTTGCAAGAATGTAACAACACCAATGTTATATACTATCACAAGTCTATTGTGCATTGCATATAAATAAATAACTAAATAAATAAGTCTAGGGTCGTCTGGACCAGTCAGCCCTCTGACCCTCAGATAAGCTGTAGTAATTTATTCTACATTATATGAAAAAATGTGAATGATATTAGCTAAACCTTCTAATATTTGACAAGTTTATGCTTATTTAAGGTTGTATTGTCCGGTAGATCACTAACCGGCCACCACACAGCATCCGGTGTTGAGAATAATGTTTGTGGGCAGGGAAGGGAATTATCAAGGGATTAATTTGTTTGTGGGTAATATCCTATGATAAGTAGATCAGTGTTTAAAAGTGAATTCGGAAGTAATAATAATACAGCTGATGCCATCTGTGGGCACAAAAGGACACTATCAACTAGCTGGTCAACAGTAACCATAAGATACAGCTTATGCCATCTGTTGACACCAAATTACACTATCAACTGGCTGGTCAACAGTAACCATAAGATACAGCTTATGCCATCTGTGGGCACAAAAGGACACTATCAACTGGCTGGTCAACAGTAACCATAAGATACAGCTTATGCCATCTGTTGACACCAAATTACACTATCAACTGGCTGGTCAACAGTAGCCATAAGATACAGCTTATGCCATCTGTTGACACCAAATTACACTATCAACTGGCTGGTCAACAGTAGCCATAAGATACAGCTTATGCCATCTGTCGGCACAAAAGGACACTATCAACTGGCTGGTCAACGGTAGCCATAAGATACAGCTTATGCCATCTGTCGGCACAAAAGGACACTATCAACTGGCTGGTCAACAGTAACCATAAGATACAGCTTATGCCATCTGTTGACACCAAATTACACTACCAAGACGCCAGCACACAAAATACAGCTAACGCCATCTAGGCACAAAAGAACACTCAACTGGCTGGTCAACAGTAGCCATAAGATACAGCTTATGCCATCTGTCGGCACAAAAGGACACTATCAACTGGCTGGTCAACAGTAACCATAAGATACAGCTTATGCCATCTGTTGACACCAAATTACACTATCAACTGGCTGGTCAACAGTAACCATAAGATACAGCTTGTGCCATCTGTTGACACCAAATTACACTATCAAGACGCCAGCACACAAAATACAGCTAACGCCATCTAGTGCGTCGCCCATGTACTACCAATAGCCAAACAGCAGCCCATAAGGCGGGTTGTTGTGCTCAAGGAAGAATTCTCGTGCTGGCATATCATTGGTTGAAACTCTTTGTTGACATTCACCACAACAGCCAATCACAGGCAGGGATCAGCTGAAGGTGCCATCCACTTAATAAATCATCTTTATTCAGAACACCAGCCCTGCTTATGACATTCTGCTTCAACTTTAATCTACCCAAAAAGTGAACGTTAATTATTTAAAAAGTGTTAATAAATTGATAATTAAATATTGCAGAATTTAACAGGTTGTATATAAAAATAGCCTGGCTACCTATCTTGTGACGTCATCAGAGAAAGTTGCCTAGACACAAATGACGATGATACAATGTTTTGCCCTCTTATTGGACTTAATTACTCAGATGGAAATTTCTGTCAGGTACAAAACATAAATTGTTGTTCTTTAGCACAACAACAAGGTTTTGTGCAAAAAGACATATTTCTTAGCTTGTATTTTATTCATAAAAGAGTGTTGGCATTCCCAGCAACAGCCAATCACAGGAAGGTATTTGCTGGAAGCTGCGCCTCCTTATGGGTGTTATCTGGAGCGTTCAGTCCAAAGAGCTAGCTTATGGCTTTCTGTTTCATCTCCTATATATGTGTAACGGTTTTATTGTTACGTAAAGTATGGTGACACAGACACTAAGATACTATATATATATATTTGGTCGAATATACAGAAGTACACAGGTGATACTTTGGTGTGAGTTGAACGCACTGAGCGTCGGTACAGTATCTCGCAAGTGTCTGCTCTAGACCACACTTGAAAGTAGACTAGTTAATGTTTGATTGATGATTGATGAAGATTAAGCCACCCAAAAGGTGGCACGGGCATGAATAGCCCGTAAGTGGTGGCCCTTTTGAGCCATTACCAGTATGAAGAGCTGATACTGGAGATCTGTGGAGGTGCGACTGCACCCTGCGTGACGGAAGATGTCTCCCGGACCAAATGGTGACCAGATGGAGTTAATGTTTGATTGATTGACGAAGATTAAGCCACCCAAGAGGTGGCACGGGCATGAATAGCCCGTAAGTGGTGGCCCTTTTGAGCCATTACCAGTATCAAGAGCTGATACTGGAGATCTGTGGAGGCGCGACTGCACCCTGCGTGACGGGAGATGTCTCCCGGACCAAGTGGTGACCAGATGTGTGAGTTAATGTTTGCTATTCTGCTGCTTATATGCCCGGGCAACACCTCACCGTGTTGCCCGGGCAACGCCTCACCTCATTCATCTCCAAAGGTTGACAGGAATATTAACAATGCATTTGGAGCGAGTATATTATTGGGATAATCTACTCGCTACAGAACTCCCCCTCCCAGGGGATGAAAGGAAAAATACTTGATCAAGGAACTTAGCTGGTCGGTGAATTGTACGCCCTGCTCGCGTTACATAACCATCAAAGTTAACTTCCTCCTCTTCGCTGATGTCATCTAACTGGGGTCGTAGGGTGGGAGGTCGCACAGGATCGTCCGTCGTCGTAGGATCAGGTTGTGGTGCGGCTGGTAACTGGGGTCGTAGGGTGGGAGGTCGCACAGGATCGTCCGTCGTCGTAGGATCAGGTTGTGGTGCAGCTGGTAACTGGGGTCGTAGGGTGGGAGGTCGCACAGGATCGTCCGTCGTCGTAGGATCAGGTTGTGGTGCAGCTGGTAACTGGGGTCGTAGGGTGGGAGGTCGCACAGGATCGTCCGTCGTCGTAGGATCAGGTTGTGGTGCGGCTGGTAACTGGGGTTGTAGGGTGGGAGGTCGTACAGGATCGTCCGTCGTCGTAGGATCAGGTTGTGGTGCAGCTGGTAACTTGGGTTGTAGGGTGGGAGGTCGTACAGGATCGTCCGTCGTCGTAGGATCAGGTTGTGGTGCAGCTGGTAACTGGGGTCGTAGGGTGGGAGGTCGTACAGGATCGTCCGTCGTCGTAGGTGGCGGTGCTGCTGGTAACTGTGGTCGAAAAGTGAACTGCGTAGTCGGCGGATGTGTCTCTGGATTTAGCAGTGTCGCAAACGTTGAGACGAAGCCTGGAGCAGAGCAGAGAGCTGAGTGAGGCCGGAGTCGTGGAGCTCTATGTGGGTGAGCGTGGCGGCTCGATTGAGAATTGTGTTATAAATTGAATTACTCTTATAATTTATAAAACAACACAAAAATAAATTATTATGATGCGTCGATTATTTCTAAGTGGCCCCAGAAATGTATTCCCCTAAATAAATAAACATTATTATCATTATGATTGACTAAATCTAGTCCTTGAAGACGAGATAAGTTGTGAACGCCATCCAGCGCACAAGTATAAGAGCGCCCAAAATTAACACATGTACTTTCATGTGGAGACAGGTGTGTGGCTTCTGACTTTGTTTTTATTAATTAATATTACATGTTAGGCGTTTACCCTTAAAACATATTATTATATACGAGTATAACTATTACATAGTAAATATAATAAGAGTCTACACTGGCCACAGTCTAGTGTTTTGTGCGCTCGACCATGTTTGTGGGCCCTCAGATCTCTCTTCAGAAGATGTGTAGTGCTTACGGTAATTGAAATTGAAATTGAAATGTTTATTGAGGTAAAATACACACAAAGGGATGAGGTAGCTCAAGCTATTCTCACCCCGTTCAGTACATCGGTTTAATACATACATATACACACATCACAAACAATAAACATATTACCAAACATTCTGAGAGATAAACATATACATTTCCTCCTTTACACAAGTAGTATGGTATCAGACGTACACATAAATACTTTTGATTGTAAATAAATACGGTGATTGATTGATTAAGCCACCCAAGAGGTGGCACGGGCATGAATACCCCGTAAGTTAAGAAGCCCAGATAATGTCCATCACATCACTCAACTTCATTTAATAACTATATGCCTGTTAAGTTGAAGAAATTAACTATTAGTAGCATTATATTGTGGTTTTAATATTGATAAGGTAAAAATATATATATGTGGGCTCCTTAGTGTGGACTAGGCCAGTAGCCTGAGGTACGAGGTGGTGGAAGGTTACACACGTCTCGCTCCTCCTGTGTAAGACTGAAACAACCCTTAAATCACTTCTGTTGGGGTGAATTAGGTTAAATTAGGTAAAACTTGCCCTGTTAATTACCCTAGAGAGCTGCAAATAATTCTTATTTATTCATATATACTGTATATACATACATGAGTTCTTACATTCTTGTAAAGCGTTTCATAGCTATGTTAATTTCCTAGATTTCCTAGATCAAGCCGCCGGCTTCCTGTCCTTGTCGAGGCCATTAGTGTTAGTGACTCGAGTAAATTCAGGTAAATAACCAGTAACTGTATTACTGTATCAAGTAACAGTTCTGGTAGCGCAGTGGGTTACGTTCTCGACGTGCAATCGCGGGATCCCGGGTTCCTTCCCTCGTAAAAGGGGGACAGAAATGGTTGGGCACATTTCCTTTCACCTAATGCCTCTGTTCACCTAGCAGTCAATAGGTACCTGGGAGTTAGGCAACTGTTATGGAGTTGCATCCTTGGGAGGGTCAGTATACAACAAATTTACAGAATTTTGCCCGAAACGCATTGCGTAATAGTGGCTTTAGGCATTGTATGTACTAGCTCTATCTATATATCAATCCATTAATGTAACATCACTTGTATGTATGTATGTACCTTACCTGAATAAACATATTTATTTATTTATTATTTATAGTATACTAAACATACAACATACAACTGGATACAAGACATATACAATATATAGAACACGATACAAACATATACAACGGTATACGAAACATATACAACAGGATACAAAACATACAACTGGATACAAAAGATATACAACAGTATACAAAACATATACAATAGTATACAAAATATATACAATAGTATACAAAATATATACAATAGTATACAAAGCAAACATGTACCCTAAGTTTAGCCAAGTTATATAATTTCCTTGACATTATTAAAGTTCATTTTGGTTATGTATGCATAAGGTTAGGATATGTATAAGAGTTAAATGTAATGAAAGATGGTTTGATATTGGTGTCACCCGTGTTTTGACGAACTTCGTTTACTAATTATACAGAAAAATTTATATTGTTAGGTTAAGTTGGTTTTTATTGGGTTAGGTTAGGTAGGTTTTAAGATCTTATTTGTGAAGTCTTTGGTACGCTTTAACTTGTATTCGTGTGACACAACATTGATTCATTGAGACTATATTGATGGGTTCAAAATGAAACTGGAATTATTTATTTATTTATATATATACAAGAAAGTACATTGGGTTTATGAGAGTACATAGCATTAATGTTTTACTTTCTTGTACAGCCACTAGCAAGCATAGCATTTTGGGCATATGAATGTTAAGAATGGGTATAAGCCTAGTGTTTATACCTAGTTCATAACCCAGTCTTGTACCTAAAACTTGGTTAGGTATAAATCTAATACTGTACCTATTGGTGGTGTCTACTCTATTTCCTGTTCGTCTTGTCCTCTCCAATACTTTGGGGAAACTGGCCGTACACGAAATGACAGACTTAAGGAACAAAAAGAAGTGTTAAGTCTGCAGACACAAACAATGCTCCTCTGTCATGTTAGGGATTCTAATCATTCTATTGATTAAAATAATCTTTCCTGCCTCTACTCTATACAGACGCTGTCTTGTCGAATTGGCTCTGATATATAACCTTCCCAACATGAACCCGAGTCCTGGCTTTGTTGCTGTTGACTCTTCCCTTTCACAATACATACTCAAATGTTCTAAACTTTCTAAAACCATGACCTAACATAAGCCTACCCATCCTTTATTCTCTTTTTTTTTCTTGTACCTTCTCTTTCGTTCCCATTTACTCCTATTATTACCACCTACATATCCTTTATTATACCTATCTTTCGCCATGCTCTTACCTTCCTCTAAGGTTTTGTCCTCCTCACCTCTTTCTTGCCTTACTTATGCCCATGCCTCTCTCGTCTCTTCACAATCGGCTTGATAATGGCCCAGGGCGGACCGAAACAGCTTCGTCTTTTCATCTTCCAGTGTGTGGTTTGGTCAACGTATAAACCTAGTGTTTGTACCTAATATATTTACAGAATGATTAAAAGTTTGGTAGACTATGCCTACAATATTTGAAAGCTTATTAATGTGTGAGAATTCTATTAAAATTAATATAGACCATAGTTTACATGGTCGTACAGGCAAAATCCCCGATGTAAACAGGTGATATGTCTCACCATTTGGATACCAGCACCTTGACATTTTGCACAGTGCTTTCTCTTCAGATTATATAACTTGATATATCATTTAATGTCTAGATAAGTATTCCATCTACAGACATGACTAATGTCATTTTATAGATAATTGCCTCCTTTTGAGGAACTGTACATACCATCTATGTTTCCATAAAGATACTGTATAATGTTATTGTATATATATTTTTAAATCCAATATAAACACCAGTACCGTATGTTATTGCAACTTTACTATATAAAAAGTTAAATAACTATTAATTCTTTATAGATTGATGTGATAATTCCTGAAGATAAACAGAATCATGTGTAGCATCGACCCTGATGAAATAACTGCCATGGAGCGTGTCACAGGAGCACTGGACATCAGTGGGTAAGTTGAAATTTGTGAGTGCTTATCAGTGACTACGGGGGAGCGAGGTCGAGCTCTTTATGCCCTCCCCCCTCCTAGCCGTTTATAACTGGCATGCTGATTACCCCCCTTTCAATATTAACATTTTCATCGTGTTTCTTTTATTAAAGTTGTGGGTGGAATTTGTTTCAGCAACCTGTTCCTTCAGTGCATTCCACTTGCTTATTACCTGTACAGGGAATGAGAACTTCCTCACATCTCTTCAACTCAATTACCTGAATTTACCCGAGGGCCACTAATACTAGTGACCTCGACGTGGACAGGAAGCTGGCGGCTTGCTCCTCAAAATAATCAGCATATCCAGCTTCCACTCATGTCTCCTTGACCTACCTCTTTTCACTTTAAATAAACTTCCATTATCTATTTTATATATTCCTCTCAAGATCTGTTTCTTCTCCTCTGAGGTTGTGAGGTGGAGTTCTTTTAACTTTTCCTCATAGCTGAGGTCTTTCAATTATGGTACTAATCTAGTTGCAAACCTCTGAATTTTCTCATATCTGTTTATGCTTCACAAGGTTTGGATTTCATGCTGTAACTGCATACTCAAGTAATGGTCTCACATCTGAAGTGTGTGTGGACTTAAAAGCCTTCTTGTTTAGATTCTTAAATTACATTCTTATGTTTCCTAACTTCCCATATGCTGCTGATGTTATCTCATTCACATAAGCTTTTGGTGTTACTGTTGTGATTATGTCTACTCCCAGGTCTTGTAATTGTCTTCCCCCTTAAGCTATACAGTAATTTAATACAGGTCTCCTTTCTCCCTTACCCAATTTCATTACTTTGCACTTACAGTAGTTTGAATATATATCCTGTATACCAGTATTTATATGTTTGCCCTCCTGTAGTTTGTTAAGGTCTACTTGCAGCACCCTACAATCCTCTTCAGTTTTTACTCTCATTAACTTTGCATCATCTTCATACTTCGACATGTACGAGCTCACTCCCTCCGCGAGGTCATTTACATAAATAAAAAAGAGCAATGGTCCTAGGATTGATCCCTGTGGAACACCACTTTACACTCGTCTCCAGCCTAACATATCCTCTCTGACTATGACCCTTTGTTTCCTGTCTGTCAAGTACTCCCATTCCTAGTTCAGTGTCTTTCCTGTTATCCCTACATGTATTTCCATTACTGTATTAGTCTTTTGTGAGGAATTGTATCAAAAGCTTTTTGGCAGTTTAGAAAGATGCAGTCTACCCATCCTTATTTCTCTTGTCTCATCTTGGTGACCCTGTGATAGAATTCAATCAAGTTTGTTAAGCATAATTTTCTCACTCTGAAGTTCTAAAAATCCGCACATCAGAAGATGGAGAAACGATGATATTTTGATCTGTCCTGGACCATTATCAAGTTGTATGTGATAAGATTTGATATTATCTAGTTGTATGACACACATGACTTCTGTATGTGTCATTTTTAATTTTAATGTACAAGTAACTCATGATTCACCAATATGCATAATTTGGACCAAGAAGTTAATTATAGAACAATAAAAGCAAGTGAAAGCAAATTCTGTGCAACTAAAAGGAACTGCCCTTAGTGTCCCATATTCTTGCATCGCTCACTGAGCACCACCAGCACCCCGCTGCTCTAGTCACCATTATTGTACAACTTCAACAGGCTACTACAGTCAACTCATACTATGTAGAACAATACTTTGGTATGATTGTGTATGAGTTTCTGCCATATGTAAAGGACAAAAATGTACTTTTACTTTGATGCACACCTGAAGATAGCATGAAAATGGTTTGTCCCCAGTTTTAGGGTTATGGAGCAACTGTAGCTACTTACGGTTGCTCCATAACATGGTTACTACTGAGTAGTAAGTAAGCTCACTTGTGAAAGTAATTTTCATAGCCTCTGGAGCTTTGAATTCTACATACAAGTACAGTATTTTTTATATCCCTGTAGTGTACCTCACAACTGAGGGACCCTGGTTCAATCCCAGAACTGGACAGAAGCAATTGAGCATGTTTCTTTTCACCTGATGTATCTGTTCACCTAGCAGTAAAGTAATTACCCAAGATAATTACCGAGGAGTTACAGTAACGTGGCTGAAATATGTTGACCAAACCACACACTAGAAAGTGAAGGGACGACAACGTTTCGGTCCGTCCTGGACCATTCTCACAATCGACTTGAGAATGGTCCAGGACGGACTGAAATGTTGTCGTCCCTTCACTTTCTAGTGTGTGGTTTGGTCAACATAACTACCCATGAATTAGGCAACTGTAGTGGGTTGCATCCTGGGGAAGATCAGTGGTTAACAATGGAGGGGACCTCAATATTTCTTAAGTGCAGGCTTCCTGTCTTTGACAAGAGAATTTATTTATACTGTATTTCTGTCTAGCATTATACTCATGTATCACATATACTCATTATAGGCCAGTTGCACTAACATCACACATAATAAAAGTGTTTGAAAGAGTGATTAGGAATCAAATTTCTAATATTGTGTTGTTTATCTAGTTTTCTAGTTTTTCTCCCCCATTAGTCATTTATCATGACTAATAAATACTGTACAGTAATGTATTGTTATTTTCCAGAGGAGAGGTGTTGTGCCGGAAGTGTGGGGAGTCGACAGCAGAGGTGGTGCTGAGGGTCAAGGATGCATATTGCAGGTCAGGCTCTTGTGGTTTTCATGAAGATTGATTAGACCTTTAAATGTAATTGGGGTGTTAATATGTACTTTACATACCATATTTCCTTTTCACTCTCCGTGAATCTGTTCCCCCATTTTCAAACTCTGGATTTTATCCGTTACCTGCAATTTACTTTTAATAACATTATAAAACATGCCTGGTTCTGTTTTACATTTGTCTGTTATCCCTTTCTCAGGGCTTCTCTCTGTCTCTCCTCACTGCCATATAGTTGTTTCTTGCTTGTTTGTGTTGCGGGTAAATTTGAGGCTTGGAACACTTCTTATATTAAACCTATTTTTTTTGTCATTTGTTCTCTGGCCCTCTCAAAATTTCTGTTGAATCAAACATCTTTTCTAGTTCTACATCTCTGTTTAGGTATAGATTTTTTGTGCCTTTATCATTTATCTCACAAAATTTAGCATACATCTCATTTGCTTTCTTGCCTAACATCGTCTTTCCAATCAAATTCATTCAAGATTTGGCTAAGTTTCCCATAGTGTGCACTCATGAAATCTAGTTTTCATCTGTTTCATTTTCCCCATTCTCTTCATTCTTGGTGAATATCAAATCCAGCACTGAAGTAATATCCTCTTCCTTCATTCTCATAACTTGCTCAATGGGTTGATACATGAATGTCTCCTGGATGAGTTTTACGAATCTGTAAGTCCAAAGGTCCTCTGTTCTTGCTTTGTAGGCCTCCCAGGCTTGATTTCAGGTTAAAATCACCAAGTGTCAACAATTGTGATTTATCATTATCTGCTCATACCATAATCTCTCTCATGATCATTGTGAGGCCCCTCTCATAATGATTCACCTCTTCCTTTGTCCATGTGTTTCTGTGGACTGCAGGCATTTATGATGATTAGTTCATCATCCTGATTACAAATCCCCAGTGCTATTATACCAACTTCTCCTGAGTTGTCAATTATTAATTCTCTTGTGACATGTTTATTTGAGCATGTCTTTATCTTTTTCTTCCTTTGTAGAGTCTGTACTGTGTATAATTTGGCATTTTTTGTTTCAGGCAGTGCTTCTTATTGTATTTTGTACACAAGTTTCGTTCCACTATTGGCAAGTCAAAACAGATCCATCCAGGTGACCGCGTGCTTGTGGCCATATCAGGAGGACCCTCTTCGGTTGCTCTTCTGCACTTGATACGAGAAGGCCTGAATGAAAATTCTCATAAAAAGCTGCGTTTTGAACCTGCTTTTCTCTATGTTGATGGTAATGCTTGATAAATAATGTGTGTTTGTATTACTGTATGCTCTTGCTCCATTCCAGTGAGAATGAGATAATGTGTTGCTTAGGAATAGGTTCCTAAGCCATACATTGCCAGAGAAATATTATTGCAGACTCTTGACTTTCATGAGCTATCGAGCATACACACATCATATTATTAAATGCCTTTGATTAATGAGTATACTCAAAATGTGCATTTCACTCTATAATTCGTGGGACTTTAGTTTTGTGTGTGCGTGTCTATGCCGATGTTTAGCCTATACAATTCCTATTATTAAGTAAATATTTCAATATATACATTCCTTTTCATTCATCTTTTATTCTTTGCTTTGTCTTGTATACAGGAATTATATTTACTGTATAACATAATTACTTATAATAACTGAATTTGCAGAAAGTTGTATTAGTGGTGATCCCATGATTGGGCTAGACTATGTACGGAAGGTTTGCAGTGAGGTCATAGCCGTGGATTTCCAGTGTTACGTTACGTCACTACAACAGATCATGTTACCAAATTCACATCCACCTGTTCCATTTACCGAGGTGAGTTATATTTCAAACAGGCTGGATAACAAGAACTTTTATAATAAGATTCCAAGCCACCACAGCTGTATTCTGTAAACTGGAATATTCTTATGACAAGACATTCTAATAACATACACATAGTGTCCAGTAGTCGGTTAAACATTTGCTTTTGGGCCTGGCCCATGTGGATACAGTATAAAAGCTTATACAGTAGTTTAATGCATCCGAACCCCACCAGGTGGTAGCTCCGAGACCAAAACTGAGCCCTCTAGCTCATCCTCCCCACATCTTGCCCTAATTAACCTTGCCCATAGGTGGTGTTAGCAGAGACCAGTATGTTCAATTATGCTTAGGAATTTTGTGATAACTGTATTATGTTACGTAGGATTACTGTGCATGCCACAAGTTTGTTGTCTCTGGTTTTTAACTGACAATAAACTAGAGTTATCTTCTCTGCACCTGAATGGGCTGTTCTCTTTAGCATTGGTGATTCTTCATTTCAATTTCCTACTCCATTTGCTATCCATAACTGTACTTGCCTAGATATGCTTGCTGGGTGGACCTTTGGCTCTATTCACGATTCTTGGGTTTAGAGGTGCCAGCATGAGACCACAAAGGTGCTATTGAGGGTCTCCCAGTTAATGACATTTCATTACATTTAATACTTGACTCTTCCACTTCCTTCCCCAGAGAAATAGCATTTTAGCTAATTAATTTCAATGTGCAGGACGGCATTAAATGAGATATGCGTGTAACTGACATTTGTAATTACAGTATGTTGAAGTAATACTACAGTATATTACATCAAATACAATGTCAAAATGTCCTGCAAAATCTTAGATTTTTTTTATGACTTTTAACTTATGAATTCATTAAGAGTTCTATATACTGTATACAGTATTTATGTCTTTGTGAGTATTGCTATATTTTTAGGAATGGAGTGAGGCAAATCTTTTGAACAGCAAAAGTGCAACAGAGAAGCTGCGTGAGCTGCTTGCCTCCTGTAAAAGTGTATCGGCTCAACAAGACCTGCATGAACAGCTTCGACATGAAGTTATTGTGCAGTGTGCTCAGGATTTACGGTACCAGAAAGTGTTCTTGGCAGATAATTCAACTAAATTATCCATCTCAATTCTGTCAAATGTGGCAGTGGGAAGGGGCTCTCAGCTTTCAAGGAAAGTGGTAAGTTAATGTCTATATTCCTGTGTGTGTGTGTGTGTGTTCGTGCAGGGGGAGGGGGGGTATCTGTTTATGGTTACATGATAAGAACTGTGCTTACGTTTTTTCTTAAGGTATTGGCCTGCCTGTTCTGTACTGCTGTTAAAGTTATAACTGATTTTGTGTTTATTAGGACTCTTGATGAGTTTTTACCCGAGGGCCAACATATCTGGTGGCCTCAACAGGGAAAGAAAGTTGGTAACTTGTTAATAGTGACTTCGTTGTTCCTAGTCTTGTAGAGTACAGTATTTGCCAAGTCTGTCCTATTATTAATATGTGAGAAACAGATTGATGGAAAGTATTGTGGGAAAATAGGGTTGAAACTATATGAGAGGTCCACCTTGTCTTTCACGATACCTCTCATGATTGTGAACATCATGAGAAATTAGCCTGGCAGTACTCTCGCAAAATGCCCAGTGTTGTGTCTCGGCTGTTTACAGGTTTCTTGTCAAACTTTTCACACACATTGTAATAAAAACAAAGTTTTGTTAATTCCCTCAACAAATTGCTTTTCTTTGGTGGTTTTCACCTCTATGTCTTGTTTCTTGTTATGTATGTGTTATGTTTGCTCATCATACCTACCTCCTACTTCCTGACAGTCTTTCCTCTTCCATCTCTTATCTTTATTACTTTATTATTATTCCTGATTTTACTGTTATTCTAGTACTGTACTGTATCATAAAAATACCTGTGCTCATCTTTGTTGCTTGAACTTAAACTTTTGAAGTTGATCACATTAGTGTTGGAATAATTGCTCCCTCCTGAAGTATTCTACAGTACCTGGGCATGAATTGCTCTTATATTCAATTACATATTTATACTTTTCAGCACTTTAGATCTCTTCATCGTGATGTAGAGGTGTTTCGGCCTATGAGGGAAATCCTTGAGAGTGAAGTTCAGCATTATGTTCGTTTCCATAAGCTAAATGAACTACAGTCGCCAGTCTTTAAACCTAAGGTATGGTTTTAATAATACTAGAATGTAACAAAAAAATGTGTTTATGATTTTAATGATAGTTTTTTCTTAAGATAATTAATCAATTCCTTATGAATTTATTTGCATGTGAAATATGAGAATTAGTCAAGGCAATTTTTGTAACTTTGAACAACCACATGCATTTCAGCATAAGTTTTTTGAACTAACATGTTTTTTGCTAAATAATTGTGAGTAATGTAGTCCAATAATGTTGTGAGCAGGACTTGAGAGACAAGAAGCCTAGTTTGCCTGGCAGCCACCATAGGTGCCACATGAAATTTTGAAATACTTGTAAGGTGTAAATCAAGGCATTTACTAGGTTCACTCTCTGTAACAGTGTAAAGCCCTAACATGCACAAGGAGCAGCGCTAGGCATGATCACAGTACAGTGTGTTAGACACTGCTAACTACTACAGTCCTCCCCATCAGCATGCCTCACAGTTGAGAACATGCCACCCAGGAGCAAAAACCACAAATCCTTCAGAGCAGGTATCAGCAGTGGGGAAGATAAAACACAAGCCCAAGGAAGTGTGCAATGTGAGCGACATAAAACATAATTGTGAATGCGAAAGGAAACAATAACACTACAATGGTCCCTGGCAGAATTAAAATTCCAGGGATAACAAACACCAGTTAACTTGAGCATTAAGTAGATAATGGGCCCCTGTCATAGGTTCTCTGTCCCTGATGAATAAGTGAGGGGGAAGAGCTAGCTGGTGCCGGAACAACCGTGGACGTCTTCAAGAGGAAACTAGATTTATTCCTCCAAGGAGTGCCGGACCAACCGGGCTGTGGTGGGTATGTGGGCCTGCGGGCCACTCCAAGCAACAGCCTAGTGGACCAAACTCTCACAAGTCAAGCCTAGCCTCGGGCCGGGCTTGGGGAGTAGAAAAACTCCCAGAACCCCTTCAACCAGGTATCATTAACCTAAACTGCTGCCTTGTGACTGTCAGGCGCATTTTGTTTAAGGTGTTTATCCTGCGTTAGGCTCTCCTAGCCCCAGAGAGAACAAGCTAGATTCGGTTCCTAACCCCCTGGTATGCAAGGGTGGGCCTCAGGCATGGCTTGTCTTCCCAAGGCTTGGCTTTTTTTAGCGTGAGAAGATTCCAAGATGGCTTCCTCATATAAATAAATTGAAGATGTGATTGGATTTAGAAAATGTTCACAATTTTACAGGTCAAAATAGTAAAGTGAATAAAAAATGAAGCATAATAATAATTGCAAGGAATTCTTAAATTTTGTGCACAATAAGGTAACATGTGGTCTTGAATGGAAGCTGCCATATTTAAGGGTATTTAGCAATGTTGTTGTAAGATACTTGACTGTTTTCAGTAGTAAAATAAGTGGATGCATATAATGGCTTCACACATTTGAGCATTATAGCTGTTCAAGTTGATACTTTGTCTACAATGGACAGAAAGTGTAATATTTTTTGCATATGTTGTACAGGTACAGTATGTGGGTTTCATGTTTATTTTCTAGACACTACTGCAGATTTTATTCTTAAATTCCACAATTTTTACAGGGTACTAGCATAGCCTCATGCACGGAAGAGTTTGTTCGTGGCCTGCAAAAGGAGTTTCCTGCAACTGTCCCAACAATTTTCCGCACTGGAGATAAATTGACATCCAGCTCTTTGGATAACAGTAAGCACTCGACTCCTGATATGAATAGTGATTCCACCAGTGATACTAGAGTAGATTTGAGCAGTAAACATTGTGTGTTGTGCTGTTCCCCAGTAGATACAGGGCAAGGTGAAGCATCTGCTTTTTGTGCCACTTTGGTGTCTCAGAAGCTATCAGCTGGTGGCTCCTTGTCACACTCCTTGCAAGAAAATTTAACAAATAAAGGCTCGGATATCAGCAGAGAGACATTTACCGATATGATGAATGGACTTCATGTAAATGATTGTTGTGAAGCGGGAGAATCCTCTCCTGTGACTGCCGAGTCACTTGCTGATGGCCAGACCTCAGAATGCTGTGGTGGTAGAAAATTGTGTTCCAGTGGAAGTAAAGAACTTGAACAGATTACCAAGGATGTGATGGAACGTCATCTGTGTTATGGATGCCGCATCGTACTGAGAGAGATGGTAAGTGTTTATACAACTGCCTTTGATAATGCATTTACAGTAAGCTCTTGCTCGATTGTAAATCTGTCTATTAGAAGTCTGAACGCAATAGAGGGATTTCATTCTGGCCATAAGATTGGATCAGTTAGGGTTGGTAAAAAAACTGGGTTATTATCTATTTAAAACAAAAACCTGGCCTTGGTGGTTAAGTGGGTAGCTACCCTTGACTAATGGGAAATAACGGAAGACTTCTGGTGGAGCGAGTCAACTGGAACAAAATTCAATGTTAATTTTGCTAAAGACAAGAGATAAAGCAATTAATAGTGATTTTGGTATAAAAATTTAAATAAAAATGGTTTAAAAAGACAATAATAAGGTATTAGTACCCTTCTACTATTAAGTGTGTCACTAAGCACAAAATATTTAGGGTGGGTTATTTACTCTGCAGGTCGAGGTAAATCGGCTTCCAGTGAAGATGCGAAAAGTGGCAGCTGAGTCCGAGCGTCGCATGCACATGAGGGAACAAATCCAAGATTTTCTCCTGTAACAAGTAATTTAAGTCCCTCACTTTGTATACCTATCATACTATTTGTAAACAACCGTGAAATATTTTTTCATTGATGAAATAATGTGGTCTACCTAACATTGTACCCGACGTGTACAGTACACTGGTGATAAGTACTCTGCTCATATAGTGCTGTTTGTCATCTGAATATTAGCGAGAAAATCAGTAGGAGCCATGAGGAGGATTCGAACCTGCACAGTGGGTTATCTTGAGGTTATCTTGAGATGATTTCGGGGCTTAGTGTCTCCGCGGCCCAGTCCTCGACCAGGCCTCCACCCCCAGGAAACGGCCCATAGCAGCTGTCTAACTCCCAGGTACCTGTTTACTGCTAGGTAACTGGGGCATCAGAGTGAAAGAAACATTTTGCCCATTTGTCTGTGTCCACTGGGGATCAAACCCAGAACCTCAAGACTACGAATCCGAAGCGCTGTCCACCCAGCTGTCAGGTGCCCCTAGGCATCAGGTACTCCTAGGCACACCCCTTGGACTACTTCACCACGATATGGTCAAAAGCAGCACAGCCTGGTATTCAATTGAGTCCTCTAGGAAACCCTGACTGGGCTTTGGTGGAAGCTAAAGGACCCCTTAGAGGATTCGGTTTAATCATGGGTTGCATTGCTTTTGACCATGTTGTGGTGAAGTGGTCTAAGGTGTATGCTTGGGAGTACCCAGTATGCAGATACGAGTCCTCCTCATGGTTCCTACTGATTTTCTCAGACACGTCATGTAAATATGAATTATTTGTGCAATATTAAGTCATAAGCTTAATTATGTTTGAATTTTTTTTTTTTTTTTTTTTTTTTTTTTTTTTTTTTACCTGTGATGTTTATAAAGGATTAATGTGCATCATATTAAATGACTTCATTCTAACATTTTAGATTTGCACCTTAAATCCATAATGATGTCCCATTGCTATTTTGCCTTGAGTCCGTAACACTACTACTAATGTACTGTATTTATGAATGAATAGCATGGACTTTATCTCTACGTATCTTCCTTTTAAATCTTTTAGCAGCACCTTTGATCCTTTTAGATAATTTGAGCTGTAGTCTTGTGCTTTAATACTAAGAACAATTTCACAGAGATGGGCTTCTAACTTCTGATACAAGAATTGAATATACAGTAATACATTCATAATTTTAATTTCATTGCCATATTTTTCACTAATCCAGCTTGAAGTGTTAAGTTGTGATTTAATGCTCGTTTCATTGTCATAAATTTTAAGTGTTGCTCATTCCATTCTGCATAAACTGTTTCATATACAAAAGTATTCAATTTCATCATTTTAATACTGTACTGTATTTGAACGAGTAAATTAAATGCTATTTCAGAAATAGATAATTGTCTGTATGATGGCAGAATAAATATTGGAACCAATACTGTACTTTTCCCATTTAACACCAGATATACTGTATACGTTTTATATACACTTAGCTTTTCCTCTGCTAATTTGAATGCAATATAGTCTTCCTGGTTTTGTGCTTTTTGATAATTTGAACTGAAGAAATACATCACAAAAATTCTATTCTATTTAAATGATCAGAATAAAAATTCAGCATATCCTTAAAGAATTATTACATCAGTTTTTTATTATGAGTACATACTCACATTTATGGCTAAAATATACACACTAAGATAGAAATAATTTACATCATAAAAAGACCCTGCTATGTAGAAAGTGAGAGAATTAGCTTAATCCACTGCTTCATAAAAAAAAAAATAGTAATGGGGAATTTGCTCAAATTTCAGTAATACATTATCATGGATAACTTAAATAATTAATATCTGTCCGTTAGTGCAAGGATATAAATATTGCATTTATGAATATGAATCACTTGATTTATATTCATTGTTCTGCATTTAAAGCAACTTAATCAGGATATAAAAAACATAATATGGTGGTTATTGCTAACCAAGTAGGCCGTCTTATTAAAGATATTGTACGAGAAAATCAATTGGTGCAATGTGGCAACTTGGACTTCTAGTGATCTGGGTATTCGCAGCCACGCACCTCGCCCAGATCGCTGGTTTGACTTGCCGCATTGCTCCAATAGATTTTCTCAGACATACAGTACAAAGAAATCACATTAATGTGATATATGTACTGTATATGTAAAATATATTGTACATTGTCTTAAAAGTTAGCAAAACTCGGTAACTTAAAAACCATTAAACATATGCCCAATCATTCCTTATAATAAAACTTTCATTACCAATATCCAATAATTTCTCAACTTTAGGCAATACTGTATTAAATGATGCATATAAAGTTGTAAAAATAGGAGATTGTTCCACTTGGAAACACAGTATACAAAATATTACACAAATATTATGTCACAGTACAGTACATGCATTTATAAATAGGCTACCACTTGCACTTCATGCTATTTATACAATTTTATATAACATTTTTTATTTCTGGCAAAAATCCATACAAAGCTCCCAGAGCATAACTCAAGTACAGTATTGCCAAGCCTTGGCTAAACCCTTTAGGCCTTTAAGATCCACCTAACCCCTACCAGAAGTCAAAACCAGAATCTGGATCGACCCAAAACTAAGAAAACTACCAGAAAGACATATCTGTATAATGTCAGAATTATGGACCAAATTATGGACAAAATAAATTTGAAAAAAATTTGCTTGAAATAAATTTGACACCAAGGTAAACAAGGCAAACTATCATTGACGAGAGGTAAATACTCTAACTGTAACGAGCCCTACTACCAGTGTTGTTGTTGTTGTTAAAGATTCGCTACCTGGAACAAAAAGTTCCAAGTAACACGGGCTATGGTGAGCCCGTAGATAGTTATGTACCACCACTAGTTGGCAACCCGGGATTTCGCTCAGCTTGCCACCTCGGTATTCCTCTTGTTGCCACGAGCTGAACTCTTCCCTCTGCCAGGCCTTTCAACTGTGCAACCTGTCCTCGATTCAAGTCCATTCCATCCAGAGGTTGACCCCACAGACAAAGTCATAAATTTTTAAATGCTGTTCATTCAAAACGAGAATTTTCTCAAATATAAATTAATATTATAATATATAAGCATATTGTGCATATATATACAGGCATAGGTTAGGTTATGTTGGCGATTATTTGTATTTGTAGTACGTGGGTGAAGCATTTACAGCGTTGTGGTTCGAGCAAAATTCGTTAGTGAAACACTTGTTCCGGAAGTATTCGAATGAAATCGGTTGCGAGTCTTATGTAAATCGTTTTTCGTCCATAAACGGGGTTAGGCGGGTGCATGGAATTACTTTTGGGTCCTTGTTTGGAGGACAGGCTGCAACTGTGTCATGCTTTCAGACAAGTGGTGCAGCCCGTCTTCCAAACACCCAAAGTCCATTATATGCACCCGCCAAACCCTGTTTATGAATGAAAAACGATTTACACACACGACTTGACTGATGACGTTCGAACACTTCCGGAACAGGTGCTTCACTGATGAATTTTGTTCAAACCACAATGCTTTAAATGCTTCACCCACGTACTACAAATAATTGCCAACAGAACCTCAACACCTAACCAATGTCTAAATATTTACAATATGGTATTATAAAATAATAATAATTTATATTTGAGAAAATTCCTGTTTTGAATGAACAGCATGTTAAAGTTTATGAACGAGTCTTTGGGGTCGACCGCTGGATGGAATGAACTTTGTCCGAGGACGGGTTGTGTGGGGGCTGGAACATTAATTCTAATGTGAGGAGCACATTTGTTGTTACATTTTTGCTTCATAATCAACTATATACCCGCCATATTGTGTTTTGTGTTGTGATGAAAAAATCCAAGTTAATGCAAGAAAGTAGACTAGTATCTTGAGGAAATTAATAAAGAGGCAGGAAACAAATTGGATCAAATCTACTCACGATTCTGCTAATCCTACCAAGGACAGATGAAGTAATTATACTGTAATTAAAAATGATGACAAAATGGAAATATAAAAAGTATGGATTGAGAATCACGGCTCCTCAACACCAGATCTATCTGCCATTGTTCTAGCATTAAAATATCTGGAAAGACAAGAACAGTGATCTGCACCGACTCTAAGCCACACTACAAAGCAGAAAATGGGGACAGTTGTTGAAATAATATAGCTGTGAAAATGCTAAGCAATTGGGAAAATGTGAAGTTCCTGTGGATTCTCCCTCAGGTTGGAATCTAAAAATTGGAGATTAAAGAAAGAATTGAACATGTCAAGCAAATCTGTATGCTGGTACAAGTCTGTTGCATCTGATACCAGTTATCATTATGAACAATAAGGTCGTGGCCAAGAGAATCTGTAATAGAATTTTTTTTCTAAAAGTATATAGAGATTCAGGATAGAAATGACAGCTGAACAGCAGAGTTGCAGAATCTGTGGTACATGAGCTGGACACTTTCCTTGGCCACTTCTTTAAAGACTGGCCCCAAAGACATTATATATAACTATGGTATACTGTACTAACTCTCATACTGAGAAAAATTACGTTAAAAGTTGAATTTTATAAGCTAGTTTCACTCATGATTTTTCATATTTTATTATATTTTGCTGAGACTTGTGTGATGTCTTTTGCACTATAGACAATTGTGTAATTTCATCCACATATCTGAATATTTAACAAGTAGAACTGTGTTAAAAAATGTGTAACATACTGTATATACAATATTTACATTTCAAAAACTTACTCAAGCTTTTTAAGAGATATGCAGCAGTCATTTCTTCACTGGACTGTAACATTGAGGTTCTGGAACAAGAAGCTGGTTTTCCTAACAAAGTTTCTTACAGAACACTTTGAGGAACATGTGTGTATTTTCCCAGCAGCTAATGGTCTCTTAACTATTTGGATGAAGCTGTAATGCTGTGCAGGCCCCTGTCTTACGATCTTCTTAATAATAGTACTGTAACACCACCACCTTCAGAGCTAGAGTGCCAGAGGTAGGTGTTGGAAAATGTGGATGTATATAGTTTTCCATTGTGACAGGAAGCCTCTTTGGCTTATCA